CCATGGATGGATGGATGGATTGTGATAAGAGTTGTGTGAGGCCCCAATATAATGATTTTAAAAAGAAAAGAAAAGAAAAATTTAAAATCAATGCATAAAGAGTTATGGTCTCAGAAACCCACAGAGGCACTTCTGCCCTGTCCCATGTGGTCGATGGCAGTAAGTTCGGTTTTAAGAAGACTTTGGGGAGGGGTGCTTTGGGGTGAAGGTTTGAAAACCTCAGGGCAGGTGTTGCAGGCTTCCTCTGACCCCATGGCTCCCGGGCCCAGTAGTTCTTAGGAAGAGGGAAGCCGGGCCGAAGCCCGCGCGGGCTGAGATTCTCATGAGGAGCAGAGGCTCTGAGAAGCTGGCGCCTGTCCGAGCTCACCCTGCCCCAGTGAGCGGGAAGTGTGGGCATCCATGATGCCTCGCCTGTGTGTCCTGAGAGGGGCCCTGGGGGCACGGTGGTTGTGTGTTGGACCGCTACCCTCAAGGTCGGTAGTTTGAAACCACCCTCTGCTCCTTGGGAGAAAGTCGAGGCTTTCCGCTCCTGTAGAGTTACAGTCTCGGAAACTCTCGGGGGCAGTTCCACTCTGCCTGCAAGGTCGCTCGACCCGAGGGCAGTGAGCTTGGCTTTGTTTGGGGGGTCCAGCCAGCACGTGTGTGGGTTCACCTTGGCTCCTTTCCTACCCCGCCCCCACCCCCCCACCCCAAGTGACTTCCCCATGACCTGTCCCATCAGCTCCCCGTCCAGCGCTGACACCAGCCTGCGTTTTCTGGAGAGCAATGGGCTGCCCCCTGCGCGCTGGGAGGAGTCTCGGGGCTGCGCCCAGGAACCCACCTGCGGCGTCTTCCGGGTGGACCTGGGCCACATGCGTTCTCTGCGCCTCTTCTTCAGGTGAGCCCACCCCACGCCACCCACTCCAGGGGAGCCAGGCTGCCCCATCCGGCTGTGTGTGCACCGTCAGACGGTGGGGGCCTCCACCAGGGCATCTGCTTGGATCTTGGTGGGGCAGGGACCCAGGCCCTGCCCCAAAGGACCTCCCCCTGTTTCCTGCTGGGTGGCCTCAGCAGCCTTAGAGGGACCCCTGATTCACGACGGACCCTCCGCCCAGTTCCGCGCCACCCCCACGGGCTGGCTGTGCCAGGGCCACTGTCCTCCACGGAAGTCGGCAGAAACCGTTGCCAGGCCTTGGTTCCTGGTCTCTCCGGGTCTGAGTCCACTGACTTGACCCCTGGTCTCCGGGTGCAAGGTGGGCCCCAGGACTGGCAGCCCCATGGTGGTCAGAGCAGAGTGGGGCCCCGGGGGTTTTCAGAAGAGTCCAGGAGTCCCTGGCCTGCCCACGAAGGGCAGAGCTGCTTCACAGTCTGCAGCACCGCCCCTCCCGAGGGTAGGGGTGGGGGTGGGGGTGGGGGCAGGAGTCGGCATCCACGGGCCTCCCTTAGACGCAGGCTCAGGAGGCGATAGTTGACTGAGAGACAGAGCGCCAGGGTCAGGGGACCAGGAAGGCTGCCCCAGGGTCCACTGTGTGAACAGTGGCTGGAGTTCACACCAGGTGGGCCTCTTGATGTACCGGGAGCAGTGTCCCCACCCTGACACTCCTAAACCATCCCCCTGCAGCTGGGCAGGTCTAGGGGGCACCATGTAGGGAGAGGGAGCTGGCCTCTGCTTCCTAGAGAGGCCAGTTGGCCTCCTGAGTGGCAGGGAAGACGGCCTGGGGCTTTCTGCCTGCCACTCACCTCACCTCTGCTCATTCTCATGACACGCCCCCCCCCCACTCCCTCCCAGTGACGAGGCCTGCACCAGTGGCCAGTTGGTGGTGGCCAGCCGGGAGAGCCAGTACAAGGTCCTCCACTTCCACCATGGCGGCCTGGACAAGCTGACAGACGTGTTCCAGCAGTGGAAGCACTGTACCGAGACACACCTCAAGGATCAGGTAGCCCCTGACGGACAGCTGGACACTGCCCTGGGTGGTGGGGACGGAGACAGACAGGTGGATGCTGCCCTGAGGGGACTGGGACAGACAGAAGGACACTGCCGGAGTTGGGAGAGGGAGTGGGCTCGAGAACTCAGATGGACACTGTCCTGGGGGGCACTCTGGTGGACAGATGGATAGTGTCGTGGTAGCGGGAACTTGGACAGAGGGAAGGACACTGCCCAGTGTTGGCGAGTCCCTGCTGACCCACAGGCAGCGGGGAGACTCAGGCTGGGGTTCCTCCCACCCAGGCCAGCGCCCTCCCTTCTCAGGGCCCAGGCTGTAGCCTAAGCCGTGCCCCCCC